GGGGGGGAGGGGGTCTAGCCTCAGCTGAAAGACAGGCAGACCCAAAACTGCAACGGTCAGAGAGGATGCGAGGGGCGTCTGGACGCCTCGGCTGGGTTGATAAGCGTACACAGTCGCTGCGCAGCCATCGGTCCGAGCGGTGGAGGGGATTCAACACATTACGTTCCGATAAAGTAAGTAGTAATAGAGTCAGTGCCCCATATTTCGGACAAAATTCACTGTATTTTCTACATAACTTCTGACTTGTGAGAGCTACGAAATTTGGCCCGGGAATGAAGAAACTGACTCTTGGCCCAACCACTTGCAATATTTTGTATGTTAATTTGTTTGTGTGCAAGAGCCTGAAATGTACTGTCGGAAATTAGGAACAGAAGGTTCTTAATTTCGGACGAAGTGTTCCTAATTTCGGACAAAACCGTTTGCCACTCATGTGCTGGCTGCGAAAACAGTTTTAGGGATACGGTCGGATAGGGTGGGTCCCTTTTATGGAAACAAGCCCTGGGGTGACATTTTTGGTTCAGACTAAGGGTTTTAAATGGCGTTTTCAACGATGCTTGCATTTAAATTCTCAAAAAACGCAAAAGTTTGCCACAGAAACTAAACGATCCGCATCACCAATCCAAAACCTGCAGTAGGCTCAGAAATAGTGCTAGTATACTATACCCAAAAACTAGACTCGTATCTTTCACGGGACCTCCGTGATGGCCAGGTGAAGTTGCAGAACGAATTTTGAGAATGGGGAGCGAGGGGGGGTGCATAAACTGCCTTTGGTTATCGGTGATATGGCGAGTCAAGTCCCTGCGGGGCGAGTTGGGTGGCCTACCTACCGGGCGCGGAGTGTGACATGTGATGTGGGTGTCTGCTGGTGCTCACCCGCTTTGGAGGCGTCGTCAATGTAGAAGACCACGTCGCCCTCGCTGTCGCGGCGCACGGCGGGCGCGTCGCCGGGCGTGTTGGCCAGGATGGTGGAGTTGGTGGTGGCGGGCGTGGCGGGCGTGGTGGCGGAGGCCGCGGCCGGGGTGCCGCTGGGCGACTGCTGCGGCTCCATGCGCTGCTTGGTGTTGCGCCGCTTGAGCACGCTGGCCTTCTTGGCCACCTGGATCATCAGAGACTGTGCGGGGAGCGCCCACTGAGCGCAACGGGCCCATGCAACTACCATCACACACAGCTAGACAACACGCACGCCACACAAAAGCAAACACATCTACCGAAACACCCGCGCCATACCTTCGAACCTATTACATTCGCGCTCCATTCGAAAGCTTCAGCTGCTCACTGGAAACGCAAGTGTGTAAATGTCGCCCACTCATTTGTGTGGGAACGACATTCGTACACAGGAAGACACACACTGGAAATGCAAGTGTGTGAATGTCGCTCACCTGCAGGTGAGCGACATTCACACACTTGCATTTTCAGTGCAAGTTCGTAAATTTTCTGAGAAAAATTCACACCTTTACTCTTAAAATTGCGATTGGACCTTCGCTAACTTGCGTTTCCAGTGCACGGTTTAAAAAAAAAGACAGAACTCAAACCGTTAAACGATATGCATTGAACTTAAAACAAACTTTATCAGCACCATCGCTTCATATTTCAAAGTAACAAAATAACACACCAAAAGCTATTCACATTTTTATTTGTTTTCAACACAACTTTTTTCCGTCTATAATTATGCATCAACTTTTATATCCGTGCAGAAACGATCATAACATTGAAACCACTAAACACGATTTAAAGCAGCCAGAGCATGCTTCCTCCGAGTACAGCAGCACACAGCAAAGCCTTTTCATTACGGACAAATAAACAACCGAAACCGTACATTTTGTTGACATAAATGTGTAGCGAAGTGGGTTTGCATCCGGTATAGGACAAGCCGTGTGGGTCACCATATTTTCCAAAATTAACGGTATCTTTTCTAGTTTACATTTGAGGATTAAGTTATTGTAATTTCATGACACTTCAATCTTACTCGTCCAAGAATTAAAAAATTTTAAATTGTAATTTTACGACATTGCAAATTTTCCCGTAAAACCTTTACACTTATTTTTCACAGTGGCGTAAACCTCTATGCTTTATGGTGGACGGAGGCCCGAAGCGATCACTGTCATCAACCGGAATCACACATGCTGATGCATTCATGGCGTGCAGTCGTCGGCTCGCGGTTCGGGCCCGGCTAGAGAATGCCTGAATGCTTTGGGGTGGGGGGTG